TAATTAGTGGTGTTGAGCAGCTTTTCACATGCCTCTTGGCCATCTGTATGTCTTCTTTGGAGAAATGTCTATTTAGGTCTTCCCTCCATTTTTGAATTGCATTTTTTTTTTTGATACTGAGTAGCATGAGCTGTTTATATATTTTGGAGATAAATCCTTTGTCCATTGATTCATTTGCAAATATTTTCTCCCACTCTGAGAGTTGTCTTTTCATCTTGTTTATAGTTTCCTTTGCTGTGCAAAAGCTTTTAAGTTTCATTAGGTCCCACTTGTTTTTGTTTTTATTTCCATTACTCTAGGAGGTGGGTCAAAAAAGATCTTGCTGTGATTTATGTCAAAGAGTGTTCTTCCTATGTTTTCCTCTAAGAGTTTTATAGTATCCAGTCTTACATTTAGGTCTCTAATCTATTTTGAGTTTATTTTTGTGTATGGTGTTAGGGAGTGTTCTAATTTCATTCTTTTAAAATGAAAACTGGTAGCTGTCCAGTTTTCCCAGCACCACTTATTGAAGAGACCGTCTTTTCTCCATTGCATATCCTTACCTCCTTTGTCATAGGTGAGTTGACCATAGGTGTGTGGGTTTATCTCTGGGCTATCTTGTTCCATTGATCTATGTTTCTGTTTTTGTGCCAGTACCATATTGTCTTGATTACTGTAGCTTTGTAGTATAGTCTGAAGTCCAGGAGTCTGATTCCTCCAGCTCCGTTTTTTTCCCTCAAGACTGCTTTGTCTACTTGGGGTCTTTTGTGTCTCCAAACAAATTTTAAGATTTTTTGTTCTAGTTCTGTAAAAAATGCCAGTGGTAATTTGATAGGGATTGCATTGAATCTGTAGATTGCTTTTGGTAGTATAGTCATTTTCACAATATTGATTCTTCCAGTCCAAGAACATGGTATATCTCTCCATCTGTTGGTATCATCTTTAATTTCTTTCATCAGTGTCTTAGAGTTTTCTGCATACAGGTCTTTTGTCTCCCTAGGTAGGTTTATTCCTAGGTATTTTATTCTTTTTGTTGCAATGGTAAATGGGAGTGTTTCCTTAATTTCTCTTGCAGATTTCTCATCTTTAGTGTATAGGAATGCAAGAGATTTCTATGCATTAATTTTGTATCCTGCTACTCTACCAAATTCATTGCTTAGCTCTAGTAGTTTTCTGGTGACATCTTTAGGATTCTCTATGTATAGTATCATGTCATCTGCAAACAGTGACAGTTTTACTTCCTCTTTTCCAATTTGGATTCCTTTTATTTCTTTTTCTTCTCTGATTGCCGTGGCTAGGACTTCCAAAACTGTGTTGAATAATAGTGGTGAGAGTGGAAATCCCTGTCTTGTTCCTGATCTTAGAGAAAATGCTTTCAGTTTTTCACCATTGAGAATGATATATTTGCTGTGGGTTTGTCGTATATGGCCTTTATTATGTTGAGGTAGGTTCCCTCTATGCCCACTCTGGAGAGTTTTTATCATAAATGGGTGTTGAATTTTGTCAAAAGCTTTTTCTACATCTATTGAGATAATCATATGGTTTTTATTCTTCAATATGTTAATATGGTTTTTCACATTGATTGATTTATGTATATTGAAGAATCCTTGCATCCCTGGGATAAATCCCACTTGATCATGGTGTATGATCCTTTTAATGTGTTGTTGGATTCTGTTTGCTAGTATTTTGTTGAGGATTTTTGCATCTATATGCATCAGTGATATTGGTCTGTAATTTTCTTTTTTTGGAGTATCTTTGTCTGGTTTTGGTATCAGGGTGATGGTTGCCTCGTAGAATGAGTTGGGGAGTGTTCCTTCCTCTACAGTTTTTTAGAAGAGTTTGAGATGGATGGGTGTTAGCTCTTCTCTAAATGTTTGATAGAATTCACCTGTGAAGCCATCTGGTCCTGGACTTTCGTTTGTTGGAAGATTTTTAATCACAGTTTCAATTTCATTACTTGTGATTGGTCTGTTCATATTTTCTATTTCTTCCTGGTTCAGTCTTGGAAAGCTATACCTTTCTAAGAATTTGTCCATTTCTTCCAGGTTGTCCATTTTATTGGCATACAGTTGCTTGTAGTAGTCTCTTAGGATGCTTTGTATTTCTGCGGTGTCTGTTGTAACTTCTCCTTTTTCATTTCTAATTTTATTGATTTGAGTCCTCTCCCTCTTCTTCTTGAAGAGTCTGGCTAAAAGGTTTATCAATTTTGTTTATCTTCTCAAAGAACCAGCTTTTAGTTTTATTGATCCTTGCTATTGTTTTCTTTGTTTCTATTTCATTTATTTCTGCTCTGATCTTTATGATTTCTTTCCTTCTGCTGACTTTGGGTTTTGTTTGTTCTTCTTTCTCTATTTCCTTTAGGTGTAAGATTAGATTGTTTATTTGAGATTTTTCTTGTTTCTTGAGGTAGGCTTGTATAGCTATAAACTTCCCTCTCAGAACTGCTTTTGCTGCATCCCATAGGTTTTGGATCATTGCGTTTTCATTGTCATTTGTCTCTAGGTATTTTTTGATTTCCTCTTTGATTTCTTCAGTGATCTCTTGGTTATTTAGTAACGTATTGTTTATCCTCCATGTGTTTGTGTTTTTTACATTTTTCTCCCTGTAATTTATTTCTGATTTCACAGCGCTGTGGTCAGAAAAGATGCTTGATATGATTTCAGTTTTCTTAAATTTACTGAGTTTTGATTTGTGACCCAAGATGTGATCTATCCTGGTGAATGTTCTGTGTGCACTTGAGAAGAAAGTGTAATCTGCTGTTTTCGGATGGAATCTCCTATAAATATCAATTAAATCTATCTGGTCTATTGTGTCATTTAAAGCTTCCATTTCCTTATTTATTTTCATTTTGGATGATCTGTCCATTGGTGTAAGTGAGGTGTTAAAGTCCCCCACTATTATTGTGTTACTGTCAATTTCCTCTTTTAGAGCTGTTAGCAGTTGCCTTATGTATTGAGGTGCTCCTATGTTGGGTGCATATATATTTCTAATTGTTATATCTTCTTCTTGGATTGATCCCTTGATCATTATGTAGTGTCCTTCCTTGTCTCTTGTAACATTCTTTATTTTAAAGTCTATTTTATCTGATATGAGTATTGCTACTCTAGCTTTCTTTTGATTTCCTTTGGCATGGAATATCTTTTTCCATCCCCTCACTTTCAGTCTGTATGTGTCCCTAGGTCTGAAGTGGGTCTCTTTTAAACAGCATATATATGGGTCTTGTTTTTGTATCCATTCAGCAAGCCTGTGTCTTTTGGTTGGAGCATTTAATCCATTCACATTTAAGGTTAACTATCGATATGTATGTTCCTATGACCATTTTCTTAATTGTTTTGGGTTTGTTTTTGTAGGTCCTTTTCTTCTCTTGTGTTTCCCACTTAGAGAAGTTCCTTTAGCATTTGTTGTAGAGCTGGTTTAGTGGTGCTGAATTCTCATAGCTTTTGCTTGTCTGTAAAGCTTTTGATTTCTCCATCGAATCTGAATGAGATCCTTGCTGGGTAGAGTATTCTTGGTTGTAGGTTCTTTCCTTTCATCACTTTAAGTATATCATGCCACTCCCTTCTGGCTTGTAGAGTTTCTGCTGAGAAATCAGCTGTTAACCTTATGGGAGTTCCCTTGTATGTTATTTGTCATTTTTCCCTTGCTGCTTTCAATAATTTTTCTTTCTCTGTAACTTTTGCCAGTTTGATTACTATGTGTCTTGGCATGTTTCTCCTTGGGTTTATCCTTTTATCCTGTATGGGACTCGCTGTGCTTCCTGGACTTGGGTGGCTATTTTCTTTCCCATGTTAGGGAAGTTTTCGACTATAATCTCTTCAAGTATTTTCTCGGGTCCTTTCTCTCTCTCTTCTCCTTCTGGGACCCCTATAATGCGAATATTGTTGCATTTAATGTTGTCCCAGAGGTCTCTTAGGCTGTATTCATTTATTTTCTTTCTTTTTTCTTTATTCTGTTCCGCAGCAGTGAATTCCACCATTCTGTCTTCCAGGTCACTTATCCTTTCTTCTGCCTCAGTTATTCTGCTATTGACTCCTTCTAGTGTAGTTTTCATTTCAGTTATTGTATTGTTCATCTCTGTTTGTTTGTTCTTTAATCCTTCTAGGTCTTTGTTAAACATTTCTTGCATCTTCTCCATCTTTGCCTCCATTCTTTTTCCGAGGTCCTGGATCATCTTCACTATCATTATTCTGAATTCTTTTTCTGGAAGGTTGCCTATCTCCACTTCATTTAGTTGTTTTTCTGGGGTTTTATCTTGTTCCTTCATCTGGTACATAGCCCTCTGCCTTTTCATCTTGTCTATCTTTCTGTGAATGTGGTTTTTGATCCACAGGCTGCAGCGACAATTGCAATTTAAAATCTGTTTGCTCTCCTCTGAGACAATGTGAGCCTCTCTGGAGTATCCCACTCTTTCCCTGATATTCTACTTGACCTTCCATTCTGACTCTAAGCTAGCTGATGGGTTGTGGAGTCAGGGTTGAAATCTCTCTCTCTTTATCAATTTGTGAAAAGAAATAAAGAAATATGCTAATACCATTTAATTCAGCACTGTCCAGGATGACAAATAAGATATTTGAGACTATATATTGCAGAGAAGTAACAGCTCTTCATGTGCTAAGGAAAAGAGAAAGGATGTATAACTTGTCTTCCTTTCTTTCTATCCTTTTGTCGTTGTTGTTAACATAAATGCTATTTTTTTACAGTGAAAATTTTAGATAGAACATTCTTTGTTTTTCTGCATTCATTTTTTCCCTTCTATTATTGTAATGCCTGCATTAGTATATCAGTTAATACATATGGCAAAATTGTTGGGATTAAATGCATGGTTACTATATCGATTTCATGCTATAAACATTGTTCCCTACTGTATTTATTCTAATTTATGTATACTTGATAGAAATTTCATTTTTTAACGTGTTATATCTCTTAGGAGTTTTCTCCTATTTAACATGATCCAAAGATACAATTCTGTGAAGGAGGGAATGGCAAATTATTTTAATGCCTTTTATTGTTTTTGTTTCTAGCCTATTCTACTAAGCTCAACAAATTTCCTGTATTTAATATGAATGATGACTTGAATGATCTGTGTACCAGTGCAGTAAGCCCAAATACGACCAAAGCAACACGGTATGCCCTGAATGTGTGGCGATATTGGTGTATGACCAATGGGCTCAAAGATCACACAGACATCACCAAGGTAAGAAACCCTTAAGTTTACTTCTCCTTTTGGTCAACTTCACTGAGCTTCCATGTGCTAGGCACTGTGCTAAGTATTGTGGGGAACACGGAACAGGTACTTTCTGCCTGAGGAAACTTTGAAAGACCATAAAATAGAAAGAAATATATCCACAGTACAAAACAGAATTTAATACGTGTTCTCGGAATTTATAGATCAGAAATGCCAAAAATATTCAGATGGAGAAATTAATTTCAGTTTGTTGAGACTAGCAAAGGAATTGATATTTAAACTGTATTTTGAGGGAGAGGTAGGGTTTCAACAGAATTGAAGACAACGGTCTTCTAGGCTGAGTCACATAAGGAAGAGTAAAATTTAGCGGGATAGACCCACTTGCCTGCACCAGAGGTTTCATATATGGGAGTAGTGGACTATAAAACTGGATTTTGACAACATCCAGTGAATGTTGGGAAACCATTGAAGTTTTGTTTTGTTTTTGTGTTTGTTTGTAAGGAGAGATTTTATTTGAAGGATTATTGGGGGGGCGGGCAGCAGAGAAGGGACCGTTATAATAAAAACACTCTGACCATAAGATCTGCAAATGTCTTAAGGGTTAGGTGAAAGGGAAACACTGAGTTTTTTTGAACAGGAAGGAACATAAGAAACATAATATTATAGAGCAATTAATTGGAGGTGATGAGCAAAAGTATATTTAGTATTCTTGGTCCTCAATTTCCCCAGTTGTAAAATGAACCCTTAGAATCTCTTCCAACTTGAAATGTTTGAGGGTTGTGAATAGAAGGGAAATTTCTTGGACTTGTAGAGTCAGAACAGAAAGATGTATTTTGATTTGGATATGTTGAGTTTAGATAATAGAGATGTCTACCAGATGGTTATGTCGAATAAGCATTTGGGAAGGTGGGACTTAAAACATGGGGGAAATGTTAAAGCTGGAAGTATAGATTCAAAGATATTGCAAATAGAAGTCATAACTGAAGCGCAAGGGCAGGTGACATCTCCAGGTTTGGGTGATGTGTTTAGGGCACCAACAAGAGATGAAATAGGAAATCCAGGTTTCTACTTCTGGCAGCATGGTGCCCTAGATACTGTGAGGGGCCTTTCTGCTGTACTTGCAGAAAGAAAGGGTGCCATCCACAGGCTCAAAACAGGAGCAGTGTGAGCAGTAAGCACGTATGAAAGGCAGGGCTCTTCCTCAGGGCTTACGTTGATAACATCATTAAGAAGGGAAGAGGCAGGGAGCTAAACTGAAGAATCCTCGATTGAGGAGCAGACCCTGAAAGTGTCTAAAGAAGTTCTTGGTCAGCACCCTGGCTCCTTGCAGAGTCATATGCTAATAATCTTTGGAGGGAAACATCCAAAATATAGGTGCTCAGATTTTTCACAGATTAAGACCAACTAAATGTGTGCTCATTAAAAAAAAAAAAAATCACTATCCACTTAAGGAAATAAATCACCATGAATGAGAATGAATAGAAACAACAAAGAACAGATTTAGACACCAGGGACTTTAGATAGTAGATTATAGGTTAAGGATGTATGAAATGTTTGTTGAAAGAATGAAAAGAATTATAAAAATGAAAAAGCAACAACATACTAATCAAAATGATCCAGCAGATTAGAAAATAAATTGAAATTTCCACTTGTGGCCATAAGGGAATAGAAGGGTCCAGAATTGCTCTCCTGCTGTAACAACTAGAAAGCTGGGCATAATATATAGTGAAATAACTCTTCTTACAGAACAGGCAGCACAGGACTTGATCCCTAAGATGGCTGCTTGACCACCTCTCAGGCTTTCTGCCTGGAGACAATTTTTAAACTGCATTAAAGGGTATGGGAAACCAAACTGAGCCTGGCAATCTTGCTGAGTTGAGGGGAGACAGAAATCAGAGCTCAGGGCGGCTGAGGACATGAGAACAACTAGAAAGAAGTTATAGCATACATTGAAAAGATAAGACAAATCCAGAATTTAATAATGTAAAATTCACAATTTCTAGCATACAATCAACAGTTACTTTACATAGGAAGAAGTGGGAACATATAACCCATGCCCAGGAGAAAAATCAGTTAATTCTTTCACTTCCAACCAATTTGGAGGAGATTTACTCTCCTGCCAGAAACAACCAAAAAACAGACAAATGATATAACTAATGTTTTTCAAGGTATTATATAATACACAAAGAAGGGCAGTGATCTCTGAGAGATGGGAAACAAGGTGAGCCTTACATGTGCCCCAGCTTGCTGCCTTGAAAGAGGCTACAGGGCTGTGGTGCAGGGAGGGAGCATGCAGGAAGAGCACAGCAGATTTGCTGAGTTGAGGAAATGGAACTGAGTCCAGAGAGACCCAGGTGGCTAGAATTGTCATAACAGAATATTCGAAAGTAGAGAGCTACACAGAAAGAGAACGTGAAAGAACTGAAGCTATTCTGTCTCAAATATTCAGCTGAGTACTGATCAACATCTGCATGTGAAGCTATTCTGTCTCAAATATTCAGCTGAGTACTGATCAACATCTGCATGTGAGGAAACTACCTGAGGCTGGCCAAAAAAAAAAAAGATGCCTGAAAGAATCAGAGGTAATAGTACCTGGAGCTCACACAGAACTGCAAACAGTACCTCTTCCCACCAGTCAGACTGGAAAAACCTCAGGATTCGTGGGGTAGAGACTTTAGAAAGGTCTTGCATCAAATGTGGAGAATAATTAGCCACAGACTGAGCTTTGCTCTAACCCTACCCAACAAATCTTAAAAGCAAGACCCAGCTACATGGAAAGGTGCTATATATCACTAATCATCAGGGAAATGCAAATCAAAACCGCAGGGAGCTATTACCTCACATCTGTTAGGATGACTGTTATCAAAAGACAAGAGTTAACTAGTGTTGGTAAGGATGTGGAGAAAAGGGAACTGTTGTGCACTACTGGAGCAAATGTAAAGTGGTGCAGCCACTATAGAAAAAGAGTATGGAGGTTCCTCAAAAAATTAAAAATAGAACTATCATGCGATCCTTTATCTAAAGGAAACGAAAACACTAATTCAAAAGGATATATACACCCCTGTGTTCATTGCAGCATTATTTACAATAGCCAAGACATAGAAGCAACCTAAGTATCCAGAGATGGATGAATGGATAAAGAATATGTGGTGTATAGATACAGTGGAATATTATTCGCCATAAAAAGGAAGAAAATCTTGCTGTTTGCAACAACATGGATGGACCTTGAGGGCATTATACTAAATGAAATAAGTCAGACAGAGAAAGACAATTACCATATGATCTCACTTATATGTGGAATCTAAAAACAAAGAACAAAAATCCTCCTAGCTACAAAGAACAGATTGGTGGTCACTAGAGGCTGGGAATGAGCAGTGTTGAAATGGGTGAAGGTGGTCAAAAGGCCTGGGGATGTAATGTGCAGCATGGTGAGTATAGTTAATAACATGGTACTGTATATTTGAAAGTTGCTAAGAGAGTAGATCTTAAAAGCTCTCGTTACAAGAAAAAAAATTTTTAACTATGTGTGGTGATGGGTGTTGACTAGATTTATTGTGGTAATCATTTTGCAATATATACAAATATCAAAATATTATGTTATACACCTGAAACTGATATAGTGTCATATGGTAATTATATCTCAATTTTTTTTTAATTAGGAAAAAGCAAGACCCAAAAGAGTCAAACAGTTTTCAAGTAACTTAACTACGTCCCAGAACAAACCTTAAGAATATTTATAGGAATATAAGAATATCCAGAACCCAAGAAATAAAATTCACAATCTCTGGCAACTAAACAAAAATTTCCAGACATGCAAAGGAGCAAGAAAATATCAATATATCACTTAAAGAATGAATCAATCAAAACCAACCCAGAACTGACACAGATTTTAGAATTAGCAGACAAGGACATTAAACCATTATTATGACGAAAATAAACACGTGAAAAGATGCTCATTAGACCGCAGGGAAATGCAAGACAAAATCACATGAGATTCTACTTCACATTCAGTAGGAAGACTAGGATAAAAAAAAGAAAAACAGATAATAACAAGCGTTGATGAGGATGTGGAGAAATTGGAACCCTCATACATTTCTGGTGGGAATGCAAAATGATGCAACTGCTTTGGAAAGTCTGGAAGTTCCCCAAAAGTTAAACATAGGGTTACTCTCACCCAGCAATTCCATTCATAGGCATATACTCAAGAAAATTTAAGACATATATCTATACAAAAACCTGTACACAAATATTTGTTGTAGCATTATTCACCATAGCCAAAATGTACAAACAACCCAAATGTCCATCATTTGGATGAACAAAACATGGCATATCCATACAATGGAATATTATTTGTCAATGAAAAGAAACGAAGTACTGATACATGCTTACAGCATGGCTGAACCTTGAAAGTGTTATACTAAGTAAAATAAGTCAGACACAAAAGAGCAAATATGTATGATTCCATTTATGCAGGGTACCTAGAATAGGCAAGTTCGTAGAGACAGAAAGTATAATAGAGGTTACCAGGGGCTGACGGGGGAAGAAATGTAGTTATGGTATACTGAGTACAGTTTCTGTTTGGAATGATGAAAAAGTTCTGGAAATGAGTAGTGATGATGGTTGCACAACATTGTGAATGTACTTAATGACACTGGATGGTACACTTATAAATGGTTAAGATGGTAAATTTTATATTATGTATATTTTACCACAATAAAAAAGCAAATAAATCTATTAAAATGTAACAATTTCACCTTTATTAATAATAATTTTAAAATTCATCTATTCTCATAGACCCTCATCACCATGTCTTCAGCCCCTAACCTTAACCTTTTCTAGGTCAGAGGATCTTGTCTTCCAGACTTTGTGAAGTCACTATGAAGACAGTTGTCCGTTACTGGGAAACTTTACATTTCCCTGCAGGAATCCATGAAAAGAGCCCCATTTCCCCATAACCTTCATGGCATAGGTAACATATACATCTCAGGTGGTGAAAATGTCTCGATTGT